CCGCCCGGCCGCCCAGCGCGGGCTCCGCGAAGGCTTGGCTGCAGCGCCTGCTGAGCACGTCTCCCTCGGGCCTCGCAGGGCTTTCTCCGTGCAGGGGCCAGGCCTGCTGGGACACAGGGAGGGTATCACATCTGCCCTTGCTCTAATTCCATTAGCGTTGCTGCCCGCACTTCCCGCTGTGATCTGCTCACCTACTTAAAAGTTAAGCAGGTGTCTAAAAACTTTGCAGGATACGAGCTTAAAATGTAGTTAGCTAACAAAGGAAGGTAATCTGCTTATGCGGCCCCCTTTACTTATAGCGCCTCCTAGTCAATCATGTGATTAGCCTTGCAATACCCCTGTGGGGCAAGCTCATGCTCTTACCCCCATTTTATGGTTGGGGAAACTCAAAAAGGGGCACAGATAAAATTAAGCAATTTGCTCAATGTCACACAAGAAATCTGAAACAAAATACAGGACTATGTAGCAGTTTAAAGACTAACAAGATGGTTTATTAGATGATGAGCTTTCGTGGGCCAGACCCACTTCCTCAGATCAAATAGTGGAAGTGGTATATATGGTTGTGACTATTTTCTTCCACTATTTGATCTGAGGAAGTGGGTCTGGCCCACGAAAGCTCATCATCTAATAAACCATCTTGTTAGTCTTTAAAGTGCTACATAGTCCTGTATTTTGTTTCAGCTACACCAGACTAACACGGCTACATTTCTATCACAAGAAATCTCTGAGAGCAGAAAATTAAACTGGGGGTCTCCTAGCTCTCCAAGTGGCACCCCAAGCAATGGACTATCCTTTCTCTTAGAGTGGAGATGCTTTTATTTTCTTAAGATTAATAAAGCACTTTCAAATTATTTGAATAAAATATCTAAATCCAAAGTATTACAATAGCTTTTTTTTTTGTCAATTTGTAGGGTTGAATCTAAACAGTTGCAAACCCTTGTATAAACCCTCCAATTGCATTAAACTTGGTTTATTTCATCTTAGTTTAAGTAGATTGTGAACAGGTTTTAAAATGTTTATTTTGGTTTAGTTTGAAGTGAAATAAGAGTGTTCATAAAGCCTTTGGCACCAGTTTAAGTAAATTACCTTAAAATAGCCTTGTGAGTTCAACTGACCTAGCTGTAAACAATGGCAAGCCCAATATCTTATACCAACTCTTTTTTGATGAGCTTTAGGTCTGTCTAAGAAAAATGGGCCATATTTATCCTTAGAGTAACTCAGTAGAACTCACTGCACTATGGTACAAATGTAGTTATACGAGGATGAATTTGTCTTGTATCTATTTAGCACAGGATAGGGACAAAGGCTCAGATCCACAGAGAAGTTTAGCTGTTGTGATGCTGAGCCTTCAAATAGAAAATCACAGGGACATTATTGCTGTCCACAAAGTCTGAGCCTAAGTTCCTATACAATGAATGAGGAGAGATGGGTATCAAAAATCCACAAAAGTCAGCATGCTAGGCTGAGAATCACCAAAGCTGGGAAGTGCTGACAAAAATGGTGTGCCATAAACCCTTCCCCTCTCTTGGTGGTTGCAGATAAGTGCTTCTTTCTGTTGGATAGCCACACCTGAGAACCTGTTCTTGGAGTCACACAGCTTAGTCACCAAAGTCATCATTTGTGAGATAGAGATAGGAATCTGCCTCATTTCACACAAAAGAGCCAGAAAAAGAGATAGCCAGCATGTAGACCAGTAATTGACACACTTAGCTGAAATGGGGTAAAACCAAACTCAATTCCCCCCACTCTGCTACAAGGGAGAAAAGATTTGAATAAGCATCTCCTATTGCTCAGGTGACTACTCTATCCACAGAGCTTTGGGACAGTCCATTGTATGGGCTCCATCAATCTTTTCTGTTGAAGCTGTATATTTAAATAGTATATTAGAGCTATTTGGCCAGAGGACAAGCAAACAATCAGGGCAATTAAAGATCCTTCCAAGTCAGATTCTTTTTCCTAGGCCAGTCTTCCTAGGCCAGTGGTCTCCAGCCTTTTTAAGCACAAGATCACTTTTTGAATTTAAGTGCAATCCAAGATCTACCTCACACCCAAATATCCTTGCCCCACCTCCTTTGTGCCCCTTCTCCAAGGCCCTGCTCCTGCTCACTCCATCCTCCCTCTCAAGCCCTTCCTCCCTCACTTTCACCAGGCTGGGGCAGAAAGTTGGGGTGCAGGTTCTGGTCTTGGATTAAGGGATGTGGAGTGTGAGAGGGGCTCTGAGCTGCTTTTGGGGCAGGCAGTTGAGGTGCAAGAGGGGGTTCTAGGTGCAGGCTCTGGGAGGACGTTTGGATGCAGGGGTGGTTGGGGTAGGGGCTTGGGGTACAGGAGGGGGTTCATGACTGGGGTAGGAGTTTGAGATGTGGGCTCCAGCTGGTCACTGCTTACCTCAGGTGGCTCCTGGAAGGTGGTACCATGGGGCTAAGGCAGGCTCACCCCTACCTTGGCCCTAAGCCACTCCCAAAAGCAGCCAGCAAACTCCCTCCCAAGTCCTGTTGTGTCCCCCTTTCTGCTCTGTGAAGAAAGAACACAGGGTGGGAGAGGGGGCACCTTGACATCAGCAACCTTCCTCTCCCTTCCCTGCCCTGCCCTGCCCAGCAAACAGGAGGCTTCCCGGGGCGGGGGTTGGGGAGTTCCAAGGGAAAGGGCAGGAGATGCACAGCAGTGGGAGCTGAAGTGCTGGTATTTGATAGCCTCTTGCCAAACCAGTTAGGATCACCTGTCAGAGGCCCAAGATCTACCAGTGGATCCCGATCTACTGGTTGGTGACCACTGTCCTAGGCTATTCCCTTGTATCAAATTTGCTTTCTTACGTCATTATAAGCAAAACCCACAATTCTAAATCAATTTTTAAATGTTTTTGGACTTTTTTATAGCTATCTGTTTGTTGATCTTCCTCCTTTAGGAGCACAATGAGAAACTAAAGTGGTGACTATGTTGTTTGGAGTGCCCCGATCGCTGTTAGGTTTGTTGCCTCATGAAGGACCTGAAGTGAACCTTTATGGATTCCCTTTAAAGCTATAAAGGCTAAGTCTAGATAAGTATTCTAGGATCTATTATGATTATTTCATTCAAATCTTTTGTGTGAAATCTTTCTTCATCAAAACTGTCTATATCTGGGTGTCATTTAGATTTACAGAGAGTAAGATATCAGGGCCCATGCATTCTTCCCGCAGTTATTTTTCCCTAATGTGTTGTCATTTTCCATAATATTTAGCTCTAACAATTTCTAATTTCTGATTGAGGAAGAAACCTCGCCTATGCATATTTCACTGTTTTGAGTCTTGTTGGGATGAAATCAAAGATCCTGTCCAATAACCTGTATTGAACATATGCTTTATATATTTTTGTGAAGCTTCCCAGGCCCATTACTTCCATTTCCATTTTGAGTGATTTCTGTTGTCTGATATCTTTGATACCTGTATAATTCCACACACACCCTGATAGAAAAGTTGTCAATAATCTGTGATCTTCTTTGTTTTGTACAGTTCCAATGAGGTGCTCCTCCTCCTCCATCACCATACTCATAATCATACACACAAATAGCAACAGGTATGCTCATTAAAAATAAAAGGTCCTGCTAAAACAAGTCACCCCATTGCACATGGTTCTCCCTAATGGGAAAGGATGAGAGAGTAAATACATGACAGATGACAGTCATGTCATTTAATGCACAATTGGAAGGCTGTAAGATACCATGGTAATGAGTCTGGTCTAAGAACCGGTAGAAACCATTTCATATTTAGCTAGAAGCCATTCTGTATAACCAAAGCCATTTCAGTTTCTTGTGTTTGCATGTATACTAGAGGGAGTGAACTGGCCTTCACCGAGGTGGGGAGAGGCCAGAAGGATGCGCTACTGGAATGTGTTAATGAACTATTTTGAGCTGAAGTTCAAACTCCCTCTAAACCTGTCTCTTTCTCTGCTGATAATAATTCCTCTTTGAAGTTCACTTTGATTTCTTGCCCTGACATCAGACTTGTTTGGTTAAGGGTATAAAATACTAGGATTAATTGTATTAGCCAGCCTTACTGGGCCCGGCTTTGCTGGGACCACGTTTGGCTCATGCTGTGCTTTATTAATTAATAAAGCTGTTTGTTAGCTGCCTAAACAGAGAGGAGCGTTTTTTTGCTTCAACAAACCTAAAGAGAGTACAATAAAGTAGAGGACTTAGTGGACTTAAACAGGTTTTAATTTAGCATTCATGTCCTGAAATGAAATGGGATGTTCTAAGTGCACAGAAGGTTACGGTTATTATTAAAGGCACTGAAACAAACAGTAAACATTCCATTACATTTTATTCTTATTTTTTTCTAGTAGAATAAATTTAATGAAATAATGAAGAGCTCACAAATGCTAGAAAACCGAGATACTAAAAAGATAATTATATTTCAAAGGAACAAGTGTCCCTGCCAAACTAACCCAAGAATAATTGGGATAATAATCATGATGTATTGGAACTGTAAATGATGCGCCTTAAATCAAGAATACTTCTGGGGATTTCCAAACACAGGGCCAAATTCCAGCAGATTGGGGTCCAGGCACATTACCCCTTTTCTTCTCTGTGGCCTCATTTTCCACTCAGAGGGGAGGTGGTAGGGAACCACACTCTTAACCCAGAGTAACTTGTGAGGGTTTGCTGTCCTCCACCACACCTCTCCCAGGGCATGTTTGGTTGCTCTCTGTGGCCGCCAGTCCTGGGCGGGGAGCAGGAGGGAGCTGCTTCTCATGCTGGCTGAAGCTGGCCACTCCAGATTGCTGACTGTACATGGTGGCTACCTGTGACACAGCCTGGCACCCAGGCCTAGGTAGGTAATGAAAGGGATGGAACCAGCCACTTCTCCTTCTGGCTGCTCCAGGTTTCTGCTTTGTGCAGTGTGGCGGTTGCTTGTGAGACACCCTAGCTGGGGCAGTGGCCCACTTCATTTCCTCTGCTCCCCATTTGGGCTTAGATGCCAGAAACAGGGGCCAAGCGAGCTGGAAACATACCAAGGGGTAGGGGACTGTTTCTTGCTCTGCTCCTGTCTCTGGCAGGCTGCCCCACCCCCTTCACTTCCCACCTGAGCCGCCTGGGTAGCAGTGACACGGAAGAGTGTGCCAAGGAACAGGTGCAGCTGGAGAAGTGCCATTTAGTACACCAAGCAGAAATCCGGGAGACACTGGACCCCACATGCTCTCCAGGCATCAAGGGGGTTCCTCTCTACCAAGGTGCCCTCTAATCTGTGTGGTCACATAGCCCCGGAGCTGCTTAATGAGCCCTGCCTAGCCGTTAAGGGCACTTTTCCTTCAGCGACAGCAGCAGCTCCCTGCTGAGGACAGAGTAGCGAGTTTCTCCCAGCCGGTAGGAATGTTTTGGTTAATCCATGGAGGTACTGATACATTTGGAAATGGCCTGTTTTGTCATATATGAATTTCTGTAGTATGAAAACAAAAGTAATTTATCCTAATACTCAGTTCAAATCTTATATCCAAACTAGAAGATTTAGCCAGTGGTGCTTGAGTCTTAACTCAATTTTTGGTGGGGTTTTTTTTTTGTAATAATATGAAAATGTACATGCTTCATTTGAATCATTGCTGTGGGATGAGGATGGGGATGAGGGATTCAGTGTGCAGGCTACCTTGGGAGGAGAGAACAATCCAAGCCTCTCTCATCACAACAGCTTGGGGCCAGGTGAGAAGCACCTCTCCACGGCCATTGCAGCACCAGCAGGCACAGCTGGGGACGGGTGCATGTCCCCTAGCTAGGATAGGTCCAGGTTAGGGATGTAAGTGACTAGTCCAGGCTAGGGATGTAAGCAAATGTGTATCGGATAGTTGATTAGTGTCTCAACTAATTGCTTCCCCCAACCCTCTTGCTGCCTCTATCAGAGAGAGGCAGCAAGTGGAGGAGCCCCAGGAAGCTCTTGTACATTTAAAAAGCAAAGAGCTGCTGGAAGCGTGGGGCCAGCGGGGGACTGCTTGAATCCCTCGCTGGCCATGCTCCCCGTGGCACTTCCACCTTTGAAACCTAGCAAAAGCCAGCAGGGCTCTTGCTACATTTCAAAGGCAGAGGCATCCTTATCGACCAATCGAATAGTCGATGCAAGTTACATTGACTATTCGATTAGTTGATTAATCTAAATTTAACATCCTTAGTCTAGCTTTGTCTGCCCCCTGTGCTCCTCAGCCAGAGTGAGGAATGCAGCAAACTGCCCTTTCCCTTCACTCCCTGACAAAGGGGAACAGACAGCAATGTTCCTGTGTGAATCAAGGGAAGAGCTTCAGCCCCCATCACCCTTCCTAAAGAACATCTGGAGGGTGGGAGGTTTGGGGTTGAGGCAGTCCCAGATGGGAGGAGCATCCTCAGCCAGCCCCTTTCACAAAAGATTCTGTCTCTTTTCTGTATGATTTTATGAGGAGCAATCCCATTCCAGGCACATCCCATTTTCATGCACAACCAAACAGTTACTTTGCTTTAAGTGTTGATTAGAGGAAGCTGTAAACTGAATGTGGTGGTCCAAGCTCTTGCTGTTTAGGAGGAGTTCTTGAACAAACAAACAGACAACCCCTCTCAAATATATAGTAGCTATCCCATCTACCCAACTAGCAATGGGAAATCAAATAAAGAGTGATAAAGCTCTTCAGATCATTTGGACAACGGTGAATGTACTCCTCTGCAAAACTTTCCTTCTAATTTTTTACACAAGAAAAAGGAAACAGAATTATTTAGTATTCCTAGGTTAGTTAATGTTTGTAAAGTATTTAACAATTATCAGCCACCTGAGAGCAAATCCTGCCTTAATGATTGTGCAGGGTCTCCTTCACTAGGCAGAGGGAAGAGTGTTGATGACACTGCACAGACAGTACACAGTCCCTATCTCGCACTGCTGAGTCTGTGTCTGCTACATATTGAGGGGCACAGCAGAGGAGGGAGTGAGGCCAGAGATTCTGCAGCTCTAAAAGTTCTCCAGTCCACTCTTATCTCCCTGAGGCATATGCACAGAAAGCTGCTTGACTGAAGAAGCATCTACCTCTCAGAGGGCAACTCTGCAGCCATTCTGTGCTCTAGGACAGAATTCCTCAGCTTCTGTTCTGGGACCTATGCATTTCCTCAGCCCTGAGACCATCCCCTCAGGCTGGGCACTACAATGAGGATTGACCCCAAGACCTAAGTACTGTATTATAATTACTGAGTCAATACATTACATGGTTTTTATCCAAACACCTGTAACATGAGTAAGGAATGAATAAAAACAAAGTTAGAACTTCATATTTTTCCTATCAGTTATTGGGAAATGTACTTTATATAAGGTCCAACTATCTTCCTCGTGATGTCCATGGGCCTGTGTCTTTTTTTTTAAATAAGAGAAGAGAAAGGGTCTTGGAATTAACTGATGAAAAGAAAGGGAGCATCTGTAATGTCCTCAATACCTTGTTCATAGCACATGGGATCTTTGTTGTCACACTACAGTGGTGGAGCCTGCTAGGCAAACTGACCCAAAGACAATAGGGAAAACATTTAAAGGCAAACTGCAAAGCAAAAATTAATTAAGAGTTAACCCCACATTTCTGCATTGAAATTCCTCTCAAGCTCTGAGTAGTGTTCAGTAGAAATAAATTATAACTAGCCTTTTTTATATTATCTCTCCCCTTTTTGAAGACCTTAGTGCTTCTCAATTTAAGATATTCCATTTAATTATTTTGAAAAGATGGTTACAAGCTTTTTCTGTGCTCGTTAAATGGCACAGAAAATCTGTGCTTAAATCAATTTTTGTTTTGCTCCTTTAACTTTTAAGGCAATTTCAAAAAAGTCTAAAAAAGAAGAAAGTAGATTTGATGCAAAAGTGACAAAACATTTTATATTATTTCAAAATGTGAAAGAGCCTGCACAAAGGAGACAAAACTCAAGGGCTGGTGGGATTTATAGAACAAAAGCTAATAGCATTTGTTACTCCTGATCTTCCATAAAACCAGTCAGGCTGGACTATATCTTTTCAGCATAATCTCACCACTGGTCAGAATCTTAACAAATGTTGTGAGTTCTTTAATAAAGTCTTCATCAGATAATATGTTTTTGGTGTTTGTTCCATATTTTATATGAAGTAGATCAGAGGTCTTAAAAGTGATTTAGAATTATGTTAATCATCACTTTTCTAAAGAGAAAGCATTGCCTAGGAAATGTACTCTATTTGGATCAAATTTGTAAAGTTCTAGATGATCTACTAGGGAACTAAACCAAAAGTAAATTCTGCTAGGTCCATTTTCCTGATTTGGGGATTTAAGTCCACATCATGTTTCAAAATTAATAGAGATTTTGATCCATATCTCTACTAAATTACCAAGCCTATAAGTGATATGCATAGGGACAACCTCCAGCATGCAAACTTTCTTGAAACAAAAGAGATCATGATGGTCATGAGGTGACAGTTTGGGCCAGGACATTTCTTAGCTAACCCAAATACTAGTAAATCTCAGGTAAAATGGCAAAATCAGTTAAAATGGCAAAAGAAAGCTTATGAACATGTTTATTACTTGAGAGATCCAGTTAGAGAACTGCTGGGCCTATAACCTGGTGATTGTCTTCACGTCAAACTGGGTGGAGAAAAAGGATGGACAACTCCAACTGTCATAAAGACAAAGAACACATCATCCAGCTCACATGTGACTGAGACCAACAGTAGAGAGTTCAACAGAAATTACTGACATTTACAGTTTTGTTCCTCAGAAAAAACAGTCAACAGTACAAATGCTACAAATGACAGTTACTGAACAAGAAGACGACTCAACCAACAACAGCCAATTGTTGCAATAAACAGCCAGATGACCAAGTGTTGGGTCATGTAATTAGAAAACTAGTATGATTCAGAGACACTTAACAGACTGGTACTTCAAAGACACTGTGATAGTGTAAATTTTGTAAATGATTAAGAATGTTGAATTAAGGCCGTGCTGGGCAACCAAGAACTGTGAGTGGGCCACATAAGTGCCCTTCCTTCATCTCAGGAGGCCGCAGCAGCCTGTAGCCTTTTGGGGTTCCACCTGCAGCCCATGGACCCCTTGTCCACTTCCCTCCTCCACTCACCTCTCATGCACTGGGGCATTGGAGCCCCACACTTCCCGATTCATGCTCCATCCCCACTCCTCCCCCACATGTCTGAGAGACTGAATAGCTTCAAACAACTGATTTGTGGTGCTCCAAAAGGGCTGACAGGGAGAGGGAGGAGTAGGAAGTGCAGGGCTCCAGTGTCTCAGTGATGGGATGTGTGTAAGGAGGGGTCCAGACAGGGGAATCTGTGGGCCGCAGGTTGCCCATCATTGATTTAAAGGGAGAAATGTAATGGTATGCTAAACTGTATTATAATGTTCGGCCACTAGGTGGCTTTGGGTACAACATAACCTTATTTAAGGTAACCTAAGCTATACCTGGAGGCACATTTAAAGGGTCTTTGAGTGAACACATCTAGGCTATGTCTACACTCGCGGCTTCTTGCGCAAGTAATATGCAAATGAGGCTAAGCAGGAAATATCGCCGAGCCTCATTTGCATACCTAATGAGCCGCCATTTTTTTCAGGAGAGGCTCTTGCGCAAGAAAGAGCGTCTACACTGCCCCTTATTGCACAAGAAAAACCCTCTTGCGCAATGTCATTCTTCCTCTCAAGTAATAGGTGTAACGGCATTGCGCAAGAGGGTTTTTCTTGCGCAAGAAGGGGCAGTGTAGACGCTCCTCCTTGCGCAAGAGCCTCTTCTGAAAAAATGGTGGCTCATTAGGTATGCAAATGAGGCTCAGCCATATTCCACGCTTAGCCTCATTTGCATATTACTTGCGCAAGAAGCCACGAGTGTAGACATAGCCCTAATGTTTGTGTCTCTGAGATATCTGCACAGTAGCTTGGACCTGCTAGTACCAGCCCCACAGCTTATCATGGACAAGTTGTACAGGATAAGAGCTAAATTTCCAAACTATTTTTCTATGAGCCTTCAGTGAATAAGGGATTATTCTGAGAGGTATCTTTTTCCTTTAGGAACTCACCTCTCTTGCTGCTTCTAGAAGGAAAAGGTCAGAGTGGTGCAGAAGAGAAAGAAGGAGATTATATTTTCCGGGGGTGGGGAGGGGCAGCGGAGAATGCACTGGAGGCATCTGCTTGCCCCACATCCATGTCCTCTTGCATTTCGGTCTTCCTTCAAAATATTGCCCTCTGCAGTGTTGAGACCAGGGTGGGGAGCTGAGAACAGTCATGTCACTGGGAAGGAATTAGCATGCAGTTAATACATTCTGTAGTCAGGGCTAGCATTGCCAAGGAGCTAGAGGTGGGAAGGCAGAGAATTGGGTTGCAGTATATTGGGTTGTGGGATGCTAAGAAATTATTTAAAAAAAAACAACAAAAGTAAATGCCTCTGGTGATGGATAGAAGCAGTCTTGGCCTTTTCTGAACATCCCAGCATTCAGTAACCAATGGGTTAAACTCAAGTAGTTAGGAGGTGTTGGCAGAGATCCATGAAAGCCAATGGGAGAAGTTGTTGATATTTGAAATTAAAGAAACCCTGCTTGCTTTTTTTTCTTTGTGTGTGTTTTAAGCCACAAGTTGAGGGAACAAGATGAATTGAACTAGGTAGAACTACCATGTCTACAAAGAATATTGGGCATAGAAATGGACTGGACCTTAAAGCACAGATCTGTGAGTAGACAGAGAATGTCTATTTAGATATGATTTTTTCTTTGTTTTGTTGTTTGATTAAACTTCTCTGTGCTAAGTCCATGTGCCCCCTCCCCCCCCCCCCCCCCCCCCCCACACTGTACTTTAAGTTGTATCCCAGGGTTGGAATTTCTTTGTTTTAAATTGCTCTTTTTTCAATTGCTTTAAAACACCTAGCTACCAAGTATGCTTGATCAAGTATATCTTTTTGTTTTGTTAATAAAATTACCTTTTTAAGGTGATGATTTGATTCTTGTGCCCTGGAAGGTAATAGGAAGTCTATGTATGCATGCTTAAAACTGAGAGTTCAGCTATCAGAGATTACAGTTTGTTTTCTCTTTTTATTCAAACTCTCTTGTGTTAGAAGAGCTTGGGGTACCCCTCTGGAAGAAGTTCCAAGTGTTTCTTCCTGGGTTCAAGAAGAAAGGGGTTTTTCACTTGGCGGTAGCAGCCTATCTCCCAATGCCAGAGAATCTGTGACCTTGTCTAGCTTTTAAGCAGAAGCCTATAGAGGCAAGGTATTTTGAGGTCTTTTGCAGGCCACCACCTTCTGTACTCAGAGTGCCAGAGTAGGGAACAGCCTTGACACCCCCAAAACATCTTTGAAGCAGAATTAAGACTCCCCACTTCTGCTGCCTTTCCAGAGTTCATCTACACTAAAATCTCTGAAAATCAGGAAATAAAAAGCAAAGAAACATGCTGGTCCTGCAATGTACCCTTAACTTTGTGCTCTTTAAGCAATGCCCCAAAATGCCAAAACCACACTTACTAATACACTACCCTTACACATGCCAGCTCTTGCAAGTTTCAGGATATGGCTCAGATCCTTCAACTAATGTGGTATGCACAGTTTGCTACTGACGTTCACATCTTGGAAGCTTTGCATCTCCAGCTAATGCTGAATTCCCACATTGCCATGGTTCCCACATATGGGCTTTATCATTTGCACTTGGTAACACAGGTTGTGACCATTTATTTTATGGCCCTCATCCTGGGTATAGATAAATTTGTCATCTAAAAGCTGTATTGCTTCAACATGTTCCGTGTTTTATAAACCAGTAGGCTAACTCTCTATTCCATGGACCAGAGGGCATTCTCCTGCCCTAAGACATCAACCTCCTTTCTTCAGAGCTTCCATTTTATTTCTTCAAAATGAAACTATTAACAGAAGTTCAACTTATCATTCATGTCCTTTCTTCCTGATTTGGGACCTTCCCCAGGACCCGATCTGCTCCCTACAAGGTTACATGCCGGAGACCGTCTGTCTTGGAATCACATATGAAGTAGGTTCTCTTTCATGACACAGGAACTCCTGCAGGACATTTCCTGTAACTATGATTAGCATATGAGCTGTTGCTGACACTTATGAGAACCAGGAGATCTTCAGACTATCACCTAATGAAAGCTACTCAACTTTGGAAGCCCCGGAGGCCACAATGATACTCATAGCACATGCCAAGGGCCACAACTTAAGTGTGGTTGCATATACATGCATATATATCCAAATATATGCAAACAGATTCTTTCACACTGCCGGGCATGAATACAGAGATTAAGGCAAGACTACACAACACACAGGCCCCATTTAAGTCGGTTCTGCTGATATTAATAAAATGCAATATTTACCTGATTTCTACCCGACAGCACTTTTATGAGCAATGACAGTCCAGGAATTTAACTACTAAAATGCTTATCAACAGAAGACCATTATATTGTTTTGGCTTCCACTTGTGGGCTGTGTGCTGAGCCCCACGTAAACCCAAATTGCACCGTGGTCTACAAACAGGCCACAGGCTGCAAACAAATAGACCATGGGCTGCATGCGGCCCGCAGGCGTGTTGAATAGCCCTGACCTAATGTCTGGGTCATTCATATCATCAGCTGATCAGTCACGGTGGAGATAGGGTCAACTACCCTTAAAGAGCCAGCTACCATTCAAAACATTAAAGTTGGTGCAGAATGAGGCTGCCCATTTTATATTTCATGCAGAAAGCACAAGGAACCTGTGATCAGAATTAGCTGCCAGTTGATTTCTGAGTGAAACCCTGGTGTATGGATGTTGACACATACAACTTTAAAAGGGTTTGAGTCCTGACTGCGTGAAAGACCTTCTCTCTCCCCTTTTGTCATACAATGACACTTGTGATCATCTAAATGTAAATCTCCTGGTTCAAACAAGGTACAGGTTAGAATGTCTGATCAGTGAAAGATCCTCAGTTCTGGAACTTTCTCTCTCTTAGCACAGCACAGCCCAGCCCAGATTTATTGATTCAGGAAACACTGGAAAGCTTATCTGTTTTCCCAGACTTTTCCCCAGAAGATTGACTAGGCCTGGAGGGAAGAGAGGAAAGTTTATTTTTTGGTGAGTTAGGAGGTCCTTCTGCGGCCATTTGAGTTTATTATATGTGTATATAATTATTGTTCTGTGCATAGAGCATTAAGTGAGTATTTTGCTACACAGAATAAATGCATATTTTATGATTCTCTTAGCTGTTCAAGGTTTTACCTCATACGTAAGACAAGTAATAGATAAAAAAGGGAAACAGAAAAGCACAGAACAGAAAAGAAGCTGAGATTGTATGTAGAGCTCACATATTGTGATGAGCATATCTAGATAGAAAATCATCATGAATCAGGTCCCCAGAAATCATGAAATTGGCTTAAAATCATTAAATTATTTAACAAATGTTTTTATGTGCCTTCTGGTTTTGGTACCTTTAGGGATCATGTTTTCCAGCTTTTCTCTGCAACAAAGAGGCTAGAAACTTACTTAACAAAAAAAAAAAAAAGCTGAAACTCCAATGTTAATTGTATGACTCCCAGCTTTAAGAAAGCATTTTTTTCAGATAAGCAGATTCATTTCCCTAATATTGAGAGACTTGTGGTAAAATCACATATGTTGCCAATCCTCTTATATTAAGTGAAGGTCTTCATGAGTAAAGTCAAGTATTCATGAAGACTGCTTAAAGTGGGAGAAGCACCCTACATATGACCCTTGTAAGGAAGCTTTTTAATAAGTCAATCCTGCAGTCCCTTCACCACAACACAGTTCTCCTTCCATTCCTTTTATGATTGTTCACATAGACATTGCAGGCTGAGAGAGCAGCGTCCCAAAAACGAAGTTTTGCAATTTATATTTCCCTCATTTTGTACTTACTGAATGAGCAATAAAACAAAGAGAAATCCACCCCCTCCCCCAGGAGATTCCTCCAGGAACCAATCAGGGATATATATCTTCCTCAGCAGCCGCTTCCTGCAGTACAAGCTTCAGTGGCAGCAGCAGTCAGGTCAGTGAAAGAAACGCAGGGAAGAAATGCATGAAGAGCTAGAGCAACCTAAGAGTGATTGGGGAAGAGGGAGAAGTGTAAGGAGGGGAGGGAGGGAAAAAGAGGAGGAGCTAGGCCTCTCCTGCTAATGATGCCGTTGTCTTGACAACTGGGTTTTACCAATAAATATCCATTTTAAATAAAAATATCGCCCATTAAAACACATAGGGGGAAGGGAGATACTTAAGGATTTTAATCACTTTATTTTTAAACGTTATTTGATATATTCCCTCAAAAGACACCTCTCCTCTACCCTCATAGCTCCAACAGCACACCAGCAAGGCAGATCAGAGAAATTGCTGGGTCTCTAACACCTCCGGAGAAATGAGCTTTCCAGCCAGAGATTTTTCTACCCCAAATGTCGCTTACTGGAGGGCAGGGAGAGTGTGAGGGAAGGAAACACTGCCAATGGGAAAGGAGGATTTTGCTGTGCGTATTGCAGTCTATTTCCCCACTGAAGATTTGGGCGAGTTTGATGGGTGGTTTGTGTGTGTGTTGTGTTCCACTCTCGCTCCTCTCTCAAATGATTGAGGGAGAATTTGGTTGCATGTTAAGTGTTTCCCTGTCTAGGGACGAGACAGATTTTGCTGGGTGTATTTTAGTATTAGCCTCCAGAAATATGTGTGTTCGAGGCTTTGCGGTGGCTTAGTTCCCTTCCTCCCACTCCCAGCATAGTGCAGAGTATTGCACACTGTTTGTGTTTTAACATCTCTTTACTTCTCAGGAGGGAGGGGGAGAGGCGGTGTGTATTGCATGATACAGTCTCTCATTCACTCTTCTAGGGCTATCTTCCATTGGGGAGATTTTACTTTGTGTTAAGCACTCTCCTTTTCAGGGATTGGGACATTTTTAAGTGGGGGGAGGGAAATATGAGAAAGAGACATTGTTGCCTACACTAGTCTCTTTCTCCTTGGGCACAGGGCATATTTGTACTACAATATCTCAGCCTCTGTGGGTACGGAGCGGTGTAGTAGCCTCCGTGTTATGTTCATTATAAATACATATAGAAGAATAGATGTGTATCAAACTTTAGAAAACGAAGATGCCCTCCTCTCTAGTTACAATCTAGTTAAAGGTGACCCACACTGGGAACATAATTGGCTGTGTATCTTTTTACGTCTTTATGCTGTATGATAGTTTGAAGGGTTTGTTTTGCACATCAATAACCCAGACATCACTTTTTTCCCGTAGGCAATTAGAGAACGAGTAGAGGGCAGGACATCTTAGATGCCACAGAAGAAAAATCAAATTCGTTTCGCGGTGTGATTCATTCTTCACGCAGTTTTAAACCCGCCCGGCTGGTTTGTTTGTTGCTCCTTTTTTGGTTAGCTTGTAACTCAAACTGCAGACTGAAAAGCGATTTTGTTAAAGCTTCCACAAGCCGGTCCCTTCAGCTCCCGGCCAGAGCGGCAGCCAGCACTCGCAGTCCTCGTTCCGCGGAGCAACAACTGGGGAAAGAGCCCCAGACCCTTGCAGAGCTGCCCTGGGCTCCTCTGAGAGAGAAGGGAGGACTAGAGGCGGGGAACGGCTGAATTTCATTGTTAGGCCACTAGGGCAGGCAGCTGACGGGATGGGGCCGCAGAAAGAGCTTCCCCCCCTCCCCTCCCATTCCCTTTGCCACCCAGCACCATGGAGGCGACATCCCACCTCCCTCTCCACAGGGCTTGCACCCCTATACCCCCCCCACACACACGTGCGCCCCCCAACCCT